GCAACAACAACACCACCCCCCCTACAAATACAAAACAAAGAGCTAATACAGAACTCACACTGTCTGGGCATTGCAAATTGCAGTGGCCGAAGAACGATGAACAAGCACAGGTTGTTTTTTTACTCTTGTAATGAGTCATTTTTTCATTTGATCGAGTGAACTGTGAATTATATTCAAATACGGCAGTGAACGTCCTTCAAAGGCAAAGAGTTTATTACTGGTATTAAAGGTTTTATACTGTTTCTGTCAGCAGTTGATCACCGTATTCGTTGCAGTGATGTCTGTTAAGAGCGGCTGTTTGAGCCCTTTTTACGAGTCTCCAAACGGTGCACAGGTTGAAGGCTAGTTTTTTGGTTTAGTTTTTTGCACGGTCATGAATCAGTTTTGCTTTTTACTACTGTGCCTCGGAAATAATCATTATAATGTATTATTCAAAGTCAGTTGAAGCGGTGTTAGGTTTTAATCTGGTTTGGAATCTATTTAGCACAGTATTTTCAGTTGTAAGGAAATATACCTGACTCCTTCAGCGTTTTTTCTGTCGCTATAATGAAGAAAAGTATCACGTTTCTTTCTTTCAATTTTCAATTGTTCCTTTTTATCGTCTAGATTTTTTGATCATTTTGGCTGTATTTCTTGCTCTATCCCCTCTTGGCTTGGGCCTATCAGAGATAGATATCAAGGGTCGTCACACGCGTGCAGAACACTATTTTAATACTTTTTCTTCTATTAAGTCTTGACAGTGTCTATTACTTCTCAACATACAAGTTACCTCTATTTGCCAGAAAGCAAACGTTGAAAGCAAGCAGTTCCCAATAACAAAATATTCTAAGCTCACTAGCCATGTCTACGTGATTTTTAACTTTAGGTCTCTTGTGGTTTGCTCATTTTCCCCTTCGAAACAACTACCGTTCTTATTTCCCCTCCATCTGTTTTCTATATGTTACTCTTTAGTAGGTCCCCCAGTCTTCGACACTTGTGAGACCGAAATGTGTACAAGTGCCGTGAAACTCTTATTAAAACTGACGTTCACTCGTTTGTTTGTCGTCACCTTTTGCCCAGGATGAGCATCAGTTCATGGAGGTGACTCGACAGGCCGAGGACCGCTACAGTGACGCATCTTCCGGCGATACTGGAACTAGCGATAGTGGGCGTGGTGGAAGTGAGGATGAGAGTCATGGGCATACCAGCTCTTCCGGAGATGGAGGTACGTTCACTTTTTTATTTTCTTTTTAGTAGTTTCCGTCTGTTATCTTTCTCACAAGCTTTTTCCTTATATTTGAACAATTTTATTTTAAAGTTAGCTCAAATCACCTTGCAAACTTGACTGAAATGGCCTTTCATTTAAGTTACTCCGTATGCTCGCAGGTTATAATAATAAATGTAAATAATATTTTTAAAGATTGGTTCTAACAGTACAACTGAGTACATTATGCGTCCCCTAAAAAAAAAAAATTAACCCCCCCCCAAAAAAAAAACAACCCCGGTTTGTTTCCTGAAGATCTGAGCCAGTCTAGTCGCTTATCCCCACACGCGCTTTTGTGTAAGAATAGCTCATTACTTGACGTACATCTTGGTATCATTAGATTTTTAAAAATCGTGGGTATATTGAAGCCACTCAGTACTCCATAAGCCTTTTTTAAAAAACATAATTGCCAAGCTTTAAGTTTCATTAATGCTTTTGCAGCTTTAACCGCTGGAGTTTTCGATCTAAATGGACTTGATATAGGAATGTTCAGTGGGTGGTTTGCTTCTTCTTTCTTTTCAAAAATCTATCGTCCCATTTCCCTCCTCCTTCTTCAATTTTTATGTTCCTATCTAGCAGCACGAATAATCTTCGGATATGCCCTAATTATGTTGTGCAGTAAAACTCTTACCAAAACTAAATCGGATGCTTATCACTTCTCACAGGAGTAGGAGTGTATGAGTAAAGTTTGTAACATGAATTTGAACAGACTATATTATTATGAACATGTTTAGTTTCTCAAGGCAACTAAACACGGTGAAGACCAGCTATCTTCCACAATCTACAGTTTTTAAAAGGTGTTTTTCATGAATACAATTAATGTTTTTGCTGTGTTTATTGACACATTATGATGCCCCGTTATCTTCTCTTCGCATTCCAAAACCATCATCCCAGGTGACAGTGAAATGACAGCTGTTAAACATGGGCTTTTTTATCCTGTTCATTTCAAGGACGAGTCTATCCAAATGAGATGCACCTGCTGTTATTGACCCCCCACCCCCTCACTGTTCTCTCTCTCTCTCTCTCTCT